CCTCCAGGTCGAGCCGGAGCCGGAGCCGCAGCCGCGTGCCCGGGCCCCGCTGCCGTCGCCTCTCACGCCGGGCACCGTAAGTGTCACCGCCCGGGCCTGGGGGGAGCCCGGCCAGTTCGTGCGTGTGGGCATGTATGTATGAGTGTGCATGTGAGTAAGTACGTGTGTGTGCGTGTGCATGCGTGTGTACATGGCGCGGGAGCAGCCGTCTAGTTTCTCGTTGCTCTTCCACCCCCCTCCGGGGTTTGGGCGGGTTGTAACTGCTGCTGCCCCGGGTGGGGAGGGAAGGAGGGAGGGTGCAAGCTCTGGAGCTGCTGATCCCTGATCCTTCCTGCAGATGTCAGGCGACTTGGGTCGGGGGATACTGCTGCTGCTGGGGAGGGAGAGGCAAGCAGGGAGCTGGACCTGCCCATGGGAGGGGCTGCGGCGTGGGACACAGTCCCAGCCCTAGTCCCAGTGGCACTTGGCGCAGAGAATCCTTGTGAGGGGACCTGCTGGGCAGGGGAGGTGTATTGTTGCTCAGAAGATAGAAAAGGTCCTGCTGCTTTTACAAGCGCCAGAGAGACTTGGCAGGTCCTGACGGGCTTGTGAGTCAGGAGGGCTGGGTGCTGTCTGCACTCCCTTCTTTCTGCTTCCCAGCATTTGCTGGCAGAAAACCTGACTTGTCACCCTGGGTGTGTCCTGTCCATCGCCCCTGCCCCGCCCCTTGGCTATGCATATGCAGGCACAGAGCGTTTTCATGTTAGTCTTCACTTGCCGTCTGCGCCTTGGTTTCCAAGGTCTGTAGATATCTGATGTCCCCTTTAATGTGCTGAGTAGCATCCTTGCAAATGCAAGCTCTTTCTCCCCCCTGTTGATGTAAGTTATGGTAGAGAAGGTGCGACCTGGAACAGAAGTGGTTGGCCCAACCTTTTCTTCCAGCTCCTCGTGTTTAAAAAAAAAAACAAAACAAAACGATGCAAATGCTTATCCGTGTGATGCGGCTGTGGGAAGACTTAATGTCGCTGAAGGGCTTTTTACTTTTTTCTGACCGAGGTTAAAATAAGAAGAGACTACTCTTACCATCGAGTGGATTCTAGTACTGCACTGAGAAATGCCATTGCCTTATGCTGTGTCCTAATGAGAGCAAAACTGTTGTTGATGACGCTCAGCAATGGAGGCAGCAACACCAGTACTGAACTTGGCTTAGCTGCAAGTGTAGACAAAAGTTTTCAGTGCTTGCACAAAACTTCTGAACACTGTTTCTATTACCTTTACTCACAATTGAAACTTATTTGTCTAAACCTGTCCTTGACCTTTTTATTATTGAAACTTCATTTTTTCTAACATAAATCCTGCCTGTGTTAAGATACCAGTTATGCTTTTAGGAGCATCTTGCAGATAGCTTCTGGATGGCTGCCTTCACTTAATATCATTTGTAACTGGGGAAGTTGCGTGCCTGTTTTCTGATTAAACATTTGTCAGTGAAAAAATCCCAAAATAGTCACAGATGACAGGGCTGAACGACTTATCTTAATCCTAGTTTTATTTGTTAATTCAACAGATGCAGTTTATGTTGCTTTTTAGTCGTCAGGGGAAGCTGAGACTTCAGAAGTGGTATGTCCCGTTATCTGACAAAGAGAAGAAGAAAATCACCAGGGAACTTGTTCAAACCGTGTTAGCCCGTAAACCGAAAATGTGCAGCTTCCTGGAGTGGAGAGACCTGAAGATTGTCTACAAAAGGTTGTTCTGCCTCACTAAGCTTATAATTGCTATACAGCAAAAAGATATTTAATAAATAGCAAAGAAAATAATGAAGGTTGAATGTTTTCTCCCTTGCTGGTTATGAAAGAAGGCTGGTTTTGAGCTTTTTTCCTTAAATCTAATTTGATAACCTAGTAGGAAGCATTCATCTGTAGAGAGCCACTCGTGCGTGTAGCAGTGTGCTGAAGAAAGGAGATTAGATTTTCTTACACACAAAAAGGAATGATTCTTCCTACTTCTCTGCTCAGCTGTCCACAGTAAATGGATGCATGCACATTTGAAATGTGTATGATTGAACGGGTAATTATTTAGAAAGTCTACCTTTTTGTAAACATGTTTACTTCAAGGGACTAATAATTTCATAAATCAGTTACAAATATCATTTGGTCTTGAAAGCTCACAGACATTGGATAGAATTTTTTTTTTGCTCTGAATACAAAAAGTACATTTCTTCTACTGAGAAATCACGATTAGCTGAGAAATTACAATCAAATTTCTATGGATGCAAGTGCTATATAATTTCCTTCATCAAAAATCTCCTTTTCCACCTATTTTTCTAGCAAATATGGTAAGGTTGTGCAGCTGGAACATTCTGTTGACCTTTTGAATGTAATATAAAATAGACCTGTGAAAGAGCTTTTCTATACAAATTACTGTAATTGACATTCTAATGAGATGACGGAAATTTTATCTGACTAAAAGCTAATATTGTAAATGGAATTTTATCCTTTGAGTTTAAATATTTAAATAGAGAATCAAATAGCTTTCATGGGTTTTCCTTTTTTATCCTTTTTTTTGCTTCCTTCTTAGCCTGTAAATAAAATTTCTTGCTCTACCAGTTCTGCATTCTTCCCAGTGGGAGAGCATTGTTTCTTCCACTCTGAAATGGAACTGAAACGACATTAGGTAACTCTTACGTTGACACAGGATGGAAATAACAGAGCTAGTTGTGAAATGATTAGTCAGGTCCCAATTCTACATACACTTAAATGTATAATTTCATGCATGTGCACACTACCATTAGGAATGTAAATACTGATTAAAAAAAAAATCCATTTAACTTGTTGTAATTACAATGGTTAAACGATGAATAACTATGGCAGGCCCCAGCCTGGCCTGCAAGGGCCTGTACCAGCCTGGTCTGTGGGGCACCCCTCCCTAGCATGGCACCGTCAGGGCACTTCTAGCCCCCCAAGATGTGGCAAGGATTTAGCGACTCCCCAGGGCCACACCTCAGGACAAACTGGGTGGGTGGGTCTCCTATGGGGCAGGGGTGGGGCATGCTGTAGGGCTGAGCTGCAGGCCAAGGGGAGTTGCCCTGCACCCACTTACTTATGCCTTGCCCCGCTAGGCCCTGCAGCAGCTGTAGCAACAGCAGGCGCTTCATACAGTTGGGCACAGGGATGGTGATGGGGGTGCCGGCACTGGTCTCCAGCCTATGGCTCTGTGAAGTTAGACTGGGGAGGGGGTGCTGAGCTTGGGGCTGGTGCTGCCCTGGCCCACCCTGCCATGGAAGGGCTTACGCCTACCTGCCTGGAGCAGTGTGGGGAGCCTGGAGCCAAAGTAGCCCCACCAGGTAGGCAGCATAGCCCAGGAGGCCCTGGGCATCAGCAGGCAACAAGGGGCAGCAGCTACTGATGTGCAACTCCCTGGGGCCATCTGCAGCAGCGCAGAAGGGAGGCAGGATGGGGAGAGGTGACTAATACCTAATAGCTAGGCTTCACGGACCCTGTGGCAGGCAGTAAGGGCCTGCCCAGAGCCCACACTGTTTGTGGCAGGTGGTGGGGAGGCCACAAGCGGCTGTTCTAGTGTCTGCATAGTTTAGCTATTAAGTATTAGTCACCTCTCCCCCTCCCCTCTTCCCCTTCTACTCTTCACTCCTATCTCCCTCCCCACTGTCCTGTTGCTTTCTGGTTCCTGCTGGGGCACTGCAGGGCTTCCCTTCCCTCCTGGACTGCAACTAGTTCCAGGTTAAATGATAACCGGTAAGCTAGAACCGGTTATCTCTGAGCTAGTTGGTTGAACCGCTGTAGTTGTTTATCTGTTTTCCTGGCTGTGAGCCTCTTTAAGCAGGACTTGTCTGGGGATACAGGTGTATTCTTTTGAAGCCCATAACCTGCTCACCAAGAACATAGAGCATCTGTTGTAACCTCTTGTTTCCATCCTCTTAATTTCTAGTGTGATCCAACACCCCCCCCCCCCCAATCCTTTTAATTTCTTGCGTGATCTAACACACATGCGCACATATGGCTGAAGATCAGTACTGGCACTTCCTGTAGCTAATGAGCTGCTCGTAGTCCTAGCTCATATCAGTCTTTCAGACATCAGAGTGGGGATCATCAGACTTAGTGGAGAGCCACCTAACTTCTGCTCTGAGTGCACACTACCCTTTTTTTTTTTTTTTTTTTGTCCTGCAGCAGGAAGACTATGTGCAGGCCACTGTTGAAAGGGCAGCACAACAGACAGCCAGGAGCAAAAGGTAACTTTGCCTCCTGGTGGTTAGAACATTTGCCTGGCAGGTGGGAGGCCTGGGTTAAATTTCAGCACCAAATCAAGCTGTTGGCTGTACTGAGGGGTTGTGTATTTTCCAGTTTTTCGGCTTTTTTTTTAAAGCTTACCTAGGCAGACAACTTGGTTTAGATGCCAAGCTCTTAAGAGAGACTTCACAGTAGCCATAGCGTGGAAGTAAAGAATGAATCCCCCTAAGTGCCTGTGCTGGTAGTTCTCAGCCTTTATGGACTTGAGGCACCCCTTGGAAAATGCCAGTTCTTAGTTTTCACTCATTTTTGACTATGGAAGCATAATACAGAAATGTTTCTGTTGCAGAGAACTTGGGAAGACCACAATAGGTCAACATTTTTTTAACACTGGATTCTTAATTAAAATTGTTGGGTTTATCTTGTCAATCATGCTTGCATGCCTAACAGTACTAACCCTGTGTGGTACCTTGCAACACCCCTAAAAAGATCTCAAGTTGCCCCAGGGTGCTGCAGCACCCTAGTTTGGAATCATTGGCCTGTGCCTCCTTCCATTTTTCCTGTACTTTACTGCTGTACTTGACCCTAGGTACTACCTATGCTACCTAAGAGTTGCAGGTCTCTGTGAAGTTCTTTGCTAGTGATTCTCAGCCAGGGTGCCACGAGATCCAGTGGGATTAGTTATTCTCTGTGGAAGATTTGGTCACTCTAAGTATATCAGTGGGAGAATAAATTCAGAATCAACTTATTCCTTTGTGTACTCTATTCTTTAAAAGATCTATTCTAAATTTGAGAAAATACCTCTTGGTTGGCTATCTTGGGATGTATTTGGAGACTTTCAGGTCCAGACTATGAAACTGGTATGACTGCATAAACATTACTATTTGGGAGTTATGAGGATACCTGCTTTTGTTTGTAATTCTCATGGTTACATGCATACCCTCTGAAGTTGTGGTTGGGTTCAGGTATGCACTTCTACGGTTTAAAGCCTGCACATGATAACAGATCTTTCTCAAGAAGCTCAGACTTGCTTGTCATCTGATCCTTGCTCCTGGAAGGATATCTTGAAAGACTGTGTTATTATGCCAGACACCAAATTGTAATTAGTACTTGTGCTTCTAGTTTGCATCAGGGTGTCTTCTTGGAAGCTTTGAATCCCATAGGATTTATGTAATACCCTTCCTCCCCCCCCCTCAAAAAAAAACCCCGAAACAAACAAACCCCCAAACCCTGCAGTTTGCAGATTTTAAAAAATGGGGTTTAGTCAATACCCGTCTTAACTGAAAATACCCAAATGAGGATCTCTGACCTTAGTCCAACCTTATAGTTGAAAATACCATGGAGGCAGGCTTTCTAATATTCAGTTCAACTTCAAGTGTTCTTTTTTTTCCAAAAAACCCTAAGTTCCATGTGAAGTGATCTTATTAAACAATAATTTATTATATTAAAGCAGATTCTTAAAGGCTGGGTTTAAATTGAAAATGTATGGTCAGCCATGGGCCTAGCCCTAGATTATACATGGTTAGGCAGTAAAAGCAGTGGGCTTTAAGATTTCTGGGTCAAGGAGTGATATAAAAAGCTCTTTTGAATGAAAGTTTCCTCATTAAATGATATTTAGGTCAAATTTAAGGCTCAACATTTTAAACTTGATTTGGTGTAAAGATCTACCGTTATCGTGAAAGCTAAACTATATTTAAGCACTGGAAGGAAAACAGTTTAGGTGAGCATTATAGTAATCAGATGGCGTTCAGCTTAACATGGAGGAAAGTCATATGTTCTGAGTAATAGAATAGAAATGTTCAGACAGATTTGCTTTGAGTGCTGGCAGTTAGGGTGTTGTTCAAATTAGTGTGCTAAAGCAACATGTAGATATTTTTCTTTCCAGACTTATAAGTGTACTTAAACTAAAGGTTTCATATCTTTAAATTTACAGAAATTACCTATTGGATGCCTCTGTTACTTGCTACTCTTTAAACTAAGCCATTGGAAAGTAAGTGATTATGAGCCAACTTTGCATAAGTAATCCCAGATCTACTGGAATTGCTGTAAACAATATAGCTGAAATCTTAGAATTAAAAGCACAGGGAGGAAGGTACCTACGTAAGAGCACAGAAGGAAAATGGAAGGTACGTTTTTAGATCTGAAATGAGTTGGCAAGTCAGTGTCATGAGGAGACATAGGGCCAAGATCTCAAATGTCAAGAATTGCAGTGAGAAGTCTATTGCACGAACTGAAGTGGAAATGTTTGGCAGGAAGAAATGAAAAGAGAATGAGACTGGGGTTGAGGTCATAGTGTTTATTTTTTTTAATGAACAGAAACTCAGTTGGATTTGATGATGGAAGGGATTTGATTGGGGTCATCTTTGCATAGAAAAATTAAGGGCATTTTTACACATGCTCGGGGTGGGAGATGAGGGGGCACTTTTAATTAGAGCAGTCCCAAGTGCCTCTAATTAAAGCACCTGGAACGTCTTGTGTATCAGTGTCCTTACGCTTCAAAATGGCGGCAGAGGTGCTTTATCTAAAATTCGCCAATTGAGCTTTAAGTTAAAGCGTCCCTGCCGCTATTTCACTGCTGATATATGAGATGTGGAGCCTGGCTGGAGTGCAGTAATTGCAACGCTCGGGAAGACTGGATTAATAAAGTCTGCTCCGATGTTCTGTTATTTACAGGCACTCTAGAGCAGCTTTCTGACTCAGTCAGACCAGACAGAATTCGGTCTAAGAAGTCACAGAGAGGGGAGTTATGCGAGATGAGGAGGGGTGGATGACAAGCTAAGCAGAAATGGTTGAATGGAAAGTATGTCTGTCTGGGAATGCCCTATGTGGAGATAGCCTGGGCATGTAGGTGAGTGGAATTCACAAAAGGAAAAATTTTTTTTTTTGAGGATCTTCCTTTTGCTTTCAAAAAACACTGTTTTTACACACTTAGCTGAATGAGACTAAGCCCAGGTGTAGGATAAAGGTATATGTTTTATAGGATGCTTTGTTGTACAATTTTTGTGTAAATGAGGCAGTTGATCAGACTAGTCAAGTAGAGACGTAGAAGCAGGCTTGCATACACTAGGGTAAATCAAGAAGACCGTAAACACAAGAAAAATGGCTATTGTGAAAGTCATCCCTACTGTCATTATCTAAACATGGTTTGATATTATACCACAAACTGCCTTAAGCAGAGAGAGACCTGGAAGTTCCATGAAAGATGTAAAAAGATATATATAGTCAAGTATCCAGATAAATACAATGCAGCAGTTCAATGGCCAGACATCCCTCCCTGGCATGGAGGGAGCTTTCCTGCAAAATAGAATGTAGGTGCAAGTCATCTGCATGCCATTATGAATCCACATATAATCCCTCTCATTTTTTCTCCGTGTTACAAGCATAGTATTTTCCTGATTTTTATTCTTCTAGTCAAGAGCAGTAGCAGAGCTTGCTCTGGAAGTTTTCCAGCTTCTCAGCGGATGAACTTCTAATGGCTGCTTTTGAGTAGTTGCTTCCCTCTTCTGGGAGATTGTTGTTGGTGATTTTTGTTGACATCTACTGAAAGCAATGCAGGACATTATTTGTGTGGCCAGGATTAAGTTTTGGGCAATTTGATTTTATTTTAGTGTTTTATCTGTTTTATAATTTTCCTTGTTTTTTATTGTAAACCAGGTAGAGCATTTTGGGGGAGGGCAGCATATAAACCTTATGAATCAAATTAGCATTCAGGTATAATCCTGAGATTTCAGGTTAGTTCTCTGAATTAGCAATAGTTATTCCTTTTATTAATTGTTATTCCTTTTATGCAACCAATACAGTTGGTTAACCAATGAGTACCTTTTGGTGTCCTTTTGGTATTGTTCACATTTGTGTTTAGAAGCGAAGAATATGCATAAATAAAACCACCTTCTTGTATGACATTAGATATTCCAGTTGTCTCTGGAACTAGTTTCTTTCTTCTCAGCACCCTGAGAGAAATTTAAAGATTACAAGGGCATGGAAATTTGAATTTTTCTTTAACTTATAGAGGTAGTGCCCCCATCTTCGGGGGGGGGGGGGGGGGCACAGTGGCCATACACTGGGGAGACAACTGCTGATGTCTCTATTACATCACTTTTTTCAGGATGCATATATATTATTTCCAAGGGCTGAGAAGAATTGATTGTTAATTTAATTTTTGTGCATGTTTTGTGCTAACATAAAGATTGTTTTGTTGTTGCAGATATGCAAGCCTTTATTTCTGCTGTGCTATTGAAGATCAGGACAATGAACTAATAACCCTTGAAATAATTCATCGTTATGTGGAGCTGCTTGACAAGTATTTTGGCAGTGTGAGTTAGTGGTTGTCCTTATTAAGAACTTGTAAACATTTTTTAAATGTTTGTGTTTTGGTTTTATCATATATTGCACCATTTTGTTCTCAGCACAAAGCAGTTTCAAAAGTGGTGGTTTATCTGTTGTTGGACACACGTACCTGATGTATCTGATAAAATTAATATCATTTCTGCCAAGCCAAATTGGTAAGCATATTTGTGTTCATACAGTCTGTTATGTTTAAAACAATGGCTGCCTAAAAAGAGCTGACTGGACCAAGTGGTTCCTTATTTTATTGTATCTGCATTAGCAGTTAAAGTACATTCCCATGAATAAACTAAATTCAGTGTATTTTATTTCTGGGAATGCTGCTAATTATATAGTACAGGAACTTCAAGCATCTTTATACATTGTACTTTTGGCTGTTTGTTTTTTTTTTCGAGAGGGTGGCAAAATCATTTGGCCCAGTGGGGCTTTTCATGGGCTGGAGGCTGTGTGAACAGCAGGATTGTTATCCTTTGGGTGCTGGCCCTGCTAACACGGCAAATCTGGCTGCCCCAGCGGCTAGCTTAGTGGTTGCCAAATTATGTCCTCAATGGGGATTGTGACCTGAAAATTCAGCAGTGGGGCAAGTGGCAGTGGCATTAACTCCCATGGTTGCTTGAGCCACTTTGTCAGTGGGGCCAGCACCTGGGAGGTTAATACTGTTGCATCCCCAACAGAGATCATGATGTAATCATGATCATGAGTTTCAGCAGCAGTAGTGGTGTTAACCCCCCAGGTGTTGGTCCCACTAACACAATGGCTCTGGCAGTCACACGGGTTAAACTCTCCCCTTCCACGCTCCTGCATAAATTTCCAACCCCATGGGAAGCCCTGTAGGCTGGATGATCACCTTTTGTGGGCTGCTTTCAGCCCACATGCTACATGTTTTGGCACCTGTTTTGCAAAATGTAACACTAAGCTGTTAGTGGTCTTAAATTTCCAGTGCATTCCATCTAATATTTTTGACACTCAGAACATAGAGGACTAAAATGTTGTCTTTATTACACATATACAAAACTTTAATGAATGTTAAGGTTGCAAAATCAAGCACTTGGAATTATCAGATGTTAGATTTAGGATCTCATAGCCTTAATTTACCCTCCTTTCTGTATATGCATTCTGATAGTCTTTAATTATATGCTATACTTTCCATAGGATCCTTGCCATATTTGGTGAACAGAATAGGCAGTGTTTACCTAACAATCAGTTAGTATTTTATTTTCTTCTCAGTGTTCAGTGTGTGGCTATAGGTCTTATTGCACTCTAACCCCTGCTCTGAAGAATTACTGATTTCTTTGTGGAATTTTCAGTAGTGCTCATTATAACAATGTTTGTGAAGCACTGAAATATTAATTTATCTCCTAGTACCTGTGTAGACTTGAGGGGAGATCCTTGTTTTACAGATACGGGGTCTGAGTTTGATATCAGAAGTGTTTAATAAATTCTGGGTGCCCAATCTACTATTCATATACTCTGAGAAATCTTGTTTTAATCATTGCATAGTTTGTACAAAGCACAGCATGCATGAACTTTAGGTGCAGTTGTGAGTGCTCAGCATTTTTGCAAATCAAGTCTCAGATTCTTGACTCAGGCACCCCAGAAAGAGAAGAATAATTAATTAAAAAAACCAGACTTTTTACAGGAGGGTCATGTGATGCTAAGTAAGCTACTTAAAAATTGTGGCAGAGACAGGAATGGGATCCATTTAAGGGCAGCATTCAGTTGCTTTAAACAAACTACATTTTCTGTTCCTGCAGCTTCTACCTATTTTGTTCCATTTTAAAGCATCCTTAACAGGTGAGGCAGGTGTCTTCTGGGATTTTTTTTTCATGACACAGGTCTGATTTATTTGCATACCAGTGCTGCCCTGAGCACTGAGCAAAGCTAGGTCTAGTGGGAGACTGGAATGTGATGATGTAATTAAAGACTGTAGCATAAAGCCTATTCACGAGTAAACTGAATTACAATTGCACCAGCTATCTTTGTTCTGTTGTTTCCTGGTTTTTTTGAGTGCTGATTTCTGCAACTTTAATTACGGTCTCTTGCTTGATGTCTTTTTCATGCATAGTTTCCTTGCTTAAAAAAATAGGCAAACAAAAAACCCCAAATTGCCTCCTAAAGCATAATATCAATAGCAACAAGCAATTAGTAGGGTTGGAATCTGTAGGTCTGCCACACCAGCTTCCACTGATGGAAGTAACAGAGTAACTGAATAGGAGGCTGTCTTCAGTACTAGTATCTGCGTAGACCCTTGGACAGGAGAACAGTGAGACTCAAATACTACCGTTTCTATTTTGGATTGTGGGTTAGATGAGTATTCTAGCAAGCACTAATTCAACTGTAGTTCTTGCATCCAGTCTCCTCGCTCAGCCAATTTTATTTTGCCTAGTTCTATCCTGGCTTGTCATCTAATCCCTCTTGCCTTTAGTCTTAGCCTCCATGCAAGGCTCTTCATCTTCCCTACCGCTGTTTATACTAATCTCTCAACCAGATTTTTAAAGGACCTAAGCATGTAAACATATGCTTTTGAAAATCTCACTAGGTACTTAACTCCGTTTCTGCGTACATATTTTTAAGCATCTGAGCTTTGTTCCATATGCCACTCTCAGTTCTCCCATTGCACCCTGGCTCATCATCAGATAGATCTTTCTTCTACCAGCTGACTTCTAGTCTCTTATGCAATTTGTTCATCAGTCTGGCAACTCCTGCAACCTGCTTCCTGTTATAACTTCCTATTGCTTTGCTTAGACAGTCAGTCTCCTCTGAGGTCAGGCTAAGTGATCTTAAAATTCAATAAATTCTTGGTCTCCTTTTTTGTTCAAGTCTGAATCACAGTATCCCCATACCTGACTCTTTCTCCTTGCCTAGCCTTTTCCTGTCTCCTTCCACTTCCCTGCCTTCCAGTCCTAGTTGTGTGTGGCAGCTCCTAGCTTTTCCCTGCAATTTAGTCCCTGCCTTCAAGAAGCTCTTGTCCTGTCTGCATTTAAATTGGCCAACTTCCTCTTCTGTGCTTCCTGGGCCACAGCAGAAGGGGAGATTGCAGACTCAAAAAGAATTTCCTTGCTTTTGGTTCTGACACTGGACTGGCCCCAACCTAACCTGCAATTTCAAGGAAAATGATAGTACTTACTTTCCTGCAGCATTTGGCTGAGCCTGTTGAGTGCAGACATTCTGCATTTTAGCTGGGAAACTCTAGAAAGTCTCTATGAAGCAGATAAGAATTGTGACTTATGCGCTTTATAACCTGTCCAAGTTTGGATTGTCTTGAGAGCAGCAAGATCCTTGACAAAGACTACCCTTGGCAACCTGTCAGTGTAATGCTTCAAACAGAGGGGTACTAGAGTTTCTCAGAGATCAAGTTCCCGGAATTTAACGCTGACAAAATGAAGCGCATTTCATTAATCTTCATACCGCAACTCAGTGAATGCTTTTGACTGACATCTGCCAAAAAATATTTGACTGGTAATAGACACGGAAAGTTCAGCTTGATTAGCTGAACTTTGGTAAAGAAAACAAAACCTTATGGAAAGCATTAGGTTACTTTAATAGGCATTGACAAAATGAGGCATATTTTATGAATCTTCGTATAACAACTCGCTGAATGCTTTTGACTGACATCTTCCAAAAATGTGACTGGTTATAGATATGGAAAGTTCAGCTTGATTAGTTGAACTTTGGTAATGAAAACAAAATCTTATAAAGCATTAGGTTACTTTAATAGGCAGTGATAACAACTGTATCTATAACAACATTTACTATACCTTTCAGGTGTGTGAACTTGATATCATCTTCAATTTTGAAAAAGCCTATTTTATTCTTGATGAGTTCCTTTTGGGAGGGGAAGTTCAAGAGACTTCCAAGAAAAATGTTCTAAAAGCCATTGAGCAGGCAGATCTGTTACAGGAGGTAAGGAAATGGTACTTCTCTTGCCTAAACAGCAGCATGCTGTGCTATGGCTAGAGAAGACTCTCTCTTTATAGTTGTAGAAAGTGCCTTTTAGCATGCTTAGCATGTAATCTCCTGTTAATTTTTCTAATTGTGCAGTAGTAGTACAGTAGTCTTCACTTTATAAGTAGTACATGCATATATAAACTATTGAATGATTTTCTTTACATATGTCTAAAGCTTTGAAAATTTACATGCAAGCTGCTTTTTCATGCTTCTAACAGGAAATAATATATTTTGCTCTTTTAATCTATTCATGTTTGATTTTTCTTATTAAACTTTAATCAATTTGATAGTTATCATTAGTTTTTGTCATATCTGATGCATGTATGCTTCTCTACTATTTCATTGCTGAAATCCAGAAGCTAGACTCTCTTCTTTGAGACTCTTTTTAAGGTATAGTTAATACTGACTGTTCTAAAGACAGTGCGTCTCTAATACGGTAGATGATTTAAAGTAGAAATGTACTACAAAGTTAGAATAATAGTTGTAGTAATTAGTTACAGAAATATAATATGAAGTAGAAAATCATTTAACTTTTTACTTCGTATCAGATATGATAATTGGATATTTTCACTGTTCATTTCTGATTTTGAAAGACTGAAATGTAAATTTTCTGAAATTTGTAGCTTAGAAAACAATTACTGTAGCTATTGTACAGGAAAATCCTAGTAGAAAAAAAATGTAAACACCACTCCTACTCTCCCCCATGTTCTCAGTATTTCTTTGTATATACCTACTATAGTCTTGAGGTTACAGTATTGGGCTGATAGAACCTTTGAATGTAAATTCTGCCACTGACTTGTGGTATGATGTTGAAAAATCACTTGACTGCTGTGTGTACCAGTCTGTGCTCACTTTGCAGGCACCGTGAACTTTTTAAGCTTTGTAAAATACATTGAGACTCCTTGCTAAAAGGTGCTAGCTAGGGAGGAGTAAAATAATATTCTAGCTTTCTATTGCGACCGTTTAATGGGTTACTTGGATACTCCAAGTGACCGGTGTGTCATGAACACTCCATGTTCCCAAGCTTCTCCCGTACTGTTACCCCATGAACAGTTTATTGTTAAGTTACAAGATTGCATTCTATATTCTCTACCTCCATAATATTTAATTATCTTTTGTTAATCCAGTTAGTTTAAATCAAGGGTGTCCAAACCAATCTGGCCCCTTGGGCTGCAGGTGCCCAAGGGTGATGCTAGATTCTGCCCACAGTGCTGCTGGAGCTGCCAGAGGTCTGCCTTCTGCCAGGGATCCAGCAGCTCTAATAAAAAGCCTTGCCACCAGGGCCAGTCGCTGCTTCAGGGGGAGGTGTCAGCATGACCAGTAACCAGGGGGTTAATGTGGACTTGCAGCCCCATATCAGCCTCAGCTAATGCAGGGAAAGATGTTGGCAGCTGTTGCTACATATCCTTGTCACTGAATGCTAAAGATTCCTGTGGCCACCAGCATTGGGGAATGGCAAATTTGGTGGTAGGGGCTATAGTGGTAACACCCCTCTGCAGCAATATGAAGCTGACATGGGGATACAAACACCTGTCCCCACTCCTTCATTCCTGAGCTGTATGTATGTTTTACACATCTGGTTTAAATGAAAGACATACTGGGTGTTCACAGCAGAGATGCTATTTCTATTATTGTTCTGGGAAGTAGATAATTATATTGATCTTCAGGATGTGTTTTGAAACTTCCTCTCATTATCCTTGTAGACAGGATTTTCCTAATAAGAAGTGATTGATTTTATAGGGCTATTTGCCCTATTCTGGCTGGATTTGGCACTCTAACAATGCCATTTATTGTTATGGAATACAGAACTTGTTCATTAATTATTCCATGAGGCTTACGCCTTCATTCTTCTATAAATAATTCCACTTCCAAATTACAGTATATAGCGCTTGCTTGCTTTGGCCTTGTACAGATGTACAGTTTCATGTACAGTAGGAACCAGAATTGTACAAAAGTTGATTTTTCTTCTTCTGGACCAAAAATGACAGTTCTGGAAGAAAAGTAAGCCGACTCCAACCAGGTAAAAGTTAGCTCTGGGAGAATGAATATTTAGATCCCTCCCACCACTTTCCTCCAGCTTAAGTCCTCCTAGGGACTGGAAGAAGTGGAGCCATGAGGCAAAGGCTTCCGTGTCTCTGAGAATGGGATTCTGTAGAACAGGATGGGAAGGAAAAAGAACAACTGCTCCCTGTTGGCTCCTCACGTCCTGAGGTCCCTGGTGTGAGGAGTGGGCAGGAAACTTTGCCCTGTCACTCTGCTCAGCTCCTGAGCACTGGGAGCTTAGTCCTGCTCTTTACCTGCTTCTTGCTCCAGATACCTGAGTGCGGAGTAGGTAGGGAGCTTTGCCTCATCTCTCCCTCCATTTGGGTACCAGGAGCTGAACGGAGGGAACAGTGATTGTCCCCAGTGTGAAAAGTGGAGAGAGAGTTTTGGCCTGACTTTCTTTCCCAGATACAGGAGGAATGGAGCAGGCACACTTTCCCCAGATGTCACTGGTCTGGGAAAGGCTCAGGGAGCAAGGGAGGCAGAGTGGTTGTCAACTTGAATGTCTGCACTGCTGCTTCTCTCAGAATAATTTCTAGCGGTGGAAATGTTCTACCATTAGAAATGAATGTTAGTATGTGAGCGTTGTGAAGATATCTTCCCTCTTTTTTTTCTTTTTTTCAGTAATCTTTTTTTAATTAGGTTTTCCTTCTGACTTCTTTCATGCTCTCTTAAGGATTAACTTTTGCTTGAGTGGAACAATTGTGTAACAAAAACCTTACTGCTTTCAGGGTTTATTTTGCTCTGATGGTGAAAGAAATGTAAATTTAGTTGTTGGGTTTTTTTCTTACCGTGTAATAGATTCATCATATCTATGAAATACAAAATGGCAGGCTTTTGAGACCTGATCTTCTACTTCATTGGTATTTTAGCTAAAGAAAAAAAAACCACGACTTTTTATATGGGTTTTAAACAAATTTACGGTTTGGTATGGGGGATCTTTTTTTATTTTAGTAAACATAGTCTGTTAAAAGAGAATATTGAAATAGTGTTCCCACTGAAGAATTTTATAGATTGGGTAATTTTTCCTTTTCCACATAGCTCAAAAGTGTGAAAGAGCGAAATGCATTTCTTGGGTTCTGCCAGGTTTTTCTAACATGGAAATGCTTTTTTCTTTCCATGTCTATTCCTTGTGTGCATAACACAACACAAAGCTAAAGGCTTTCCTTGAGCCCTGTATTAAGTTACCTAATAAATAATTTCACATGATAAGAAAATTAATAAGTTACTTATTAAAAGTATCATTAATAAGTTAACTTGTCTAAAGTGTTTTGAAGATGGAAAGATGCTTATCCACAAAGGAACATCATTTCACACACCTTAAGTGGTTTCTTCAGAGAAGGACTCCTTAATGGGAGTTCTGAATTGTCCTGGTTGTTCTGAATAATATTAAAAAGAAAAATATGCCCAGACTTGAGTTATTGAAGAGTTTATGGGCCCTTACTAGGCTTATCTATTTGTATTCCTAGGGCAGTATTTTGGGTACTTCTGGCAGTGTACAGTTTGTAAGCTTTCATTACTCGTGTGGCCTCCTACAAACACTGCTAGATATAGTCTCTCTCTGACTGTGGAGACTTGTATATTCTTCTCCTGTGTATGTTTGATTTCTTCTTACCCAATGTTTTACTTTTCTTGGTCCCCTCCATTGATAACATTGTGTTTTGGTATTGCCCACCGAGTTGTCAGAGAAACAGTTTACAAATAAGTAAGGGTGCACTGATAGAGATTTTGGAGTCAATATTTAAGGAGGCATATCGGCCAATACCGATTTGATACACCTGCCATCAGCTGGTAAGTCCATTTTGGTGGAAGGGAAGGGGCATGGGGGGGAAGGTCAATGCCTCCCACGGTGAGGGAGGGGGCAGTATTGCCCACCGAGTTGTCAGAGAAACAGTTTACAAATAAGTAAGGGTGCACTGATAGAGATTTTGGAGTCAATATTTAAGGAGGCATATCGGCCAATACCGATTTGATACACCTGCCATCAGCTGGTAAGTCCATTTTGGTGGAAGGGAAGGGGCATGGGGGGGAAGGTCAATGCCTCCCACGGTGAGGGAGGGGGCAGGGGCAGGCTCAGGGGAGCATGTGGCCCTGGATCTGTGCAGCATGGAGCAGGCTGGAACTGCAGGGCGGAACTGGTGCTGCGCGGGGCTCTTCTTGCTGGGCGCTAGGCTCAAAGTGGGCTGTGGCGGCAGCGGGAGGAGGCTGCAGCCACCCCAAATTTTGCCGCACCTCCGCTCCCAGCCACGTGCTGCCGCCCAGTGCTGCCCCAACTGAACGCCCCACCTCCACCCAAACGCCAGAAAAAGCCACAGCTGCACTGGGCAGTGGTGTGGGGCTGGGAACAGAGCTGTGGTAAAATTTGGGGTGGCCGTAGCTTCCTCCCACTGCCGCAGGAGCCCGCTTTGAGCCCAGTGCCCGGCGAGAAGAGCCCCGCACAGTACCAGTTCCACCCTGCAGTTCCAGCCTGCTCCATGCTACACATATTTGGGGCCACACGCTCCCCCGACCTTCCGGGGTGCAAGCAGCGGTGGGAGCTGCCATCCGCCCATGGCTGTGTCCCATGCCCCCACCCCCCACCTGGGCAGCACCTGCCC